CCCCTCAAAGCTCTTTTTCAAGGATTTCTGTGCTTTTCTTATTTGTTTCCAAATGAATTTTATAATCAATATGTGCTTATAGCCATGTTCTAATCAGAGCTGTTTATCAGAAGGACCTTTAGAGTTAAAAAAGAAAAGGAAAGAAATACTTCACCCACGCAGACCCAGTGAATTTCTGGACATAGGGAGTGGAAGTAAACATTTTTAAAAAGTTCTAGAGTTGATTCTGATAATCCCAGTCTTAAAAGAGGCTTATAGAGCATAATATTCAAGTTCTAATTCCGGACCACTTTATGATTTATTTTCCCTTATGTATTTGGGACCATAATCAATGATTCTATCATCTCTCTAATTTCTTAAGCTAGAAATTTCTCTAGTCTTCCTTCACTCATTCTTCTCCCTTACCTCTCCTTTTCAATTGGTTACCAATTTGAAATTTTATCTCAAAAATATCTGGCTCTAAATCTCTAGTGCTGTCTTTTACCATTTTTCTCACAGACTGTTAAGCAGTGTCTTCATACTATAGTTTATCATTTGCACTGCCTATACAGTTATTGTTCCCTCAAAACAGGGTCGATTGTGTCACTCCTTTGCTAACCTTTGTTGGCTCTCAGGATAAATTCAACTATCTTACCATGGTACATTAGGCCTTTCACTCTCAAGTCCCAGGCTCCTAATATGGCCTTCATCCCTGTCATGACATCCCTGTCATCCCTTCATTCCTGACATTCCTTACACTGAATATTCCTGGTACACCAAATTTTACAGTAGTGGATGGACACCAGACCTAGTAGCTCTGCATATTTACACTTATGGTTTCTTTCATTTAGAATACCTACCCCCCTACCGCAACTTCTTTACCTAAGTTCTCAGTGTTTGAGATGCAGTTCAAATGGCAGCTCTTTAATAAAGCCTTTTTTAGTCTCCCAGACTGAATTAGTTGCCTCATCCTCTATTCTCAAAAATCTTTATTATTTGTATGTTTATAATGTGATTTATATGAGTCTCTAATCTCCCAGGAATTTCACACTTTCAACATCAACCAGAATGTCAGCTTTTCATGTTTTTCCTGCCTCTAGCCCAATGCATACCATATAGCAAGCACTCAAATGTTTGTTCAATGAATGAAAACAAATAAAGCTTCATTAGTCTGTAATGATTGAAACAGAAACAAGATATGACCATGGCCAGCTTGTTATACTGTTGAGATCTCGTTTGTTTTTCTTTATTGTCAGCCTTCCTAGACCTCGTTCTCTGTACGTGGCACTTCTTTATTCTTTGAGGAACCATGTACAAGACTCACAATAAATCAGATGTCTATACATGTCTATCTCTATATCTACCTATTTAAGAAGGTCTATCTTGGTACTAAAAGCAGATGCTACTTTATAGAAGAAAGTGCAACAATTTAGACCATAGTGGTAGCCTAATTAGTCTGTAGGATAGATAAATATATATAGAATTTCAAAGTTAATTCTCATTAAAATTGGAAAAGATCTGCTTCATCATTAAATTCTTTCACAATTATATACATGATGAAGTACAAATTTAGATGATGATCTTGGGTAGAAGACTAAGTGCTATGGGAGTTATATTATTTTATAAGTATAGTAATTATTTTCTCTGATTTTCCCCCTTCAACTCTATGATTATGTTGTAATCTCTGAAATGATCAAGTGTGATAATATGAAAAAAGGAAAGGAATCATATTTAAGAAACATTTAAGCACAACTTCTTAGTAAAAGGATATCAAATATTTGGACTGATTCAGTTTAAAATTTCTAACACAGTTATTTTAAAAATCAGTTTAAAAGTATAGATTAAATTGGATAATTAATATATTTGAATTACCAAATAACACCAACTTATTTTAAATATATATTTTATTATAAACCTAAGGCTTTTATTATTGAGTTATTGAAATATGGAAATTCATTTTATGAGTTTTGGATATCTATTTTTTAATTTATCAACTATTTTGTTAACTATCGATTTCCATCTAATTTCATTTCAACTTTCAAAATTTCATAAAAACATTTCCCAAACTATATAAAGAGCCCTTGACAATGATAAAAATATGGTTTATAATTGTTTTTAAAAAGAAATTAAAATCCAAGTTTTTCACAATCACTACTCTCTCCTTTACTCCAACTTTTTAATGATGATAAGGTTTAATTTCTCATAAGTTACTTCATCATACAATCAAGGAAAAGGCAACATTGTGTTGTATGTGGCTTCAAATTGAAATTATATATACATGTTATTACAAAAAGTTTTTGAATTATGGTTCTAAAGTCACTCAGAATGATGAGTTTTTACTACATGTAGTAGTTAATGACTTTTATTACATATGTACCATTTTTTCCCATTGTCCAGGCATATTTCCACAATTTAAATTAATATATTTTATTATGTCAATTTTTTTCCCACACGTTTCTTTTTTAAAAACCAGGCAATGTAGATTATATATCTGCATGAAACCCATTGTTTGGGAAACCAATGTGCCATCTGCAAACTCAATATTATTCCAAAATATTATTGGAACTAAAAACTAAACCATGCTTTGCATTATATTACTTGAAATATTTAAGTAAAATATATGTTCTTAATTATTCAAGATTATTCAAGTTATAGTGTGTCACTTTCATTTCAAGAGAAATATGTTTTAAGAGAATTTTTTATTTTATTTTTTAAAATTTATATATATATATTCATGGAGCATAAGTGCACTGATACATTTTGCTACACTGATATATTACATTGTGGTAAATGAGAATTCTTTATGAAAATTGAGACAACTTGAATCCAACCCTTTTTTCTTATTCTTTTAAAATAAATACTTTCAACAATAATGCCAATAATTATAGTATCAGTAATGGGTTGTTAAAATATTAATATTCAATACTTTATGTATAGAAATGTGATAGAAATATCAGTGAATTTTATTGTTTAGTTCCAAATATTTTAAAATATTACTTATTTGAATAATGATCACCATTACAGAACAATGCATAAACTTTTTTGTATGTGACTTGGGATGAAAGTCTAAATGCTAGCATTCCTATTTATATTTTAATCTATATTTTTCTTCTGGAACATTATTAGTAAATTTTGAGATTGTAGTACTTTTGACCCAGTCATATATGTACAGAGGTTGGACTATGAGTTAATTAAATATGAGTTAATAATATATTATAAGGAAATTATTGTCCTTATTACAGTTATTAGGTTGTTACTCAAATTATAGCTTAAAAGGAAGGCAGAGCATGGAAAACTGAGGATTAAATTATGCATTTGAACCTTAGGCCAGTTTTTACTGTAGAGACAGTTTGCTGCTAAAAGAGAAATTGTATGTCATTGAAATTAAATGCTTTTCTGGGGGTGGAAGATTCCAGTTTTTAATGAAATTACTGAGTGTGGTGTAGTGAAATGATTAAAATCTGTATTCCGGGAATGTGGCAGGGAAAAAAAATCAATAAGTGCTAGCACAGCTTTGCTGCTCAATGTGAATCCTGAGAATGAAATAAACTACTACAAAAATAATAATTAAAAACATATCAGCACATTAATTTATTTAGCATCAGTCTCCTGAGACATCATCTTCACTAATTTTTAGCATACATTTTACTATGTAATGAGCAGCCTTCTTTTCAGATATCCCTATTAGACAGGCAGTATTTCTGCCCTTCCCCCAGTGCTCCTGCATTGCAATCATTGTACTTGCACTTATTATGTTACAAATGACCGAGGTAAGGCTGACATTCTCAGTGCATGCAAAAAGACCTAGTCTGCCAAGCTTTTTTTTTCCTAATGAAGCAGCTTTGTGAAATCTCCCCATGTGTTAATACTAATGAAGATTCTCCAGCACAATTAAAATCACAGCCAGTGGCTGAGGAGGAAACATAAAACAATAGCATCTTTTATGATACATTTATCCAAATATGTTATGTACAAAATACACATATATGGTCAAATTATTCTCCTATGGCTTAATTTTTACTTGATCTTCATCCTGTAAATTAAATTATGTAATTTTCAATTATATGAATTTTGATACTTTGTTGGCTTCAGGAGGAAAAAATGTTACCTCAATGAACTTTTTAAAAAATTACCTATGTGCATGGGTAATAAAGTGTTATCAAGGTTAAGGCTTTTTTTGAAAAATCATTTTTAGGAAGCTGTAGGGGAGCCGGTGAGGAATAGGGTGTACTTTACCTTTAGTTTAACTTGATTTGTTGCAGGATGTGAGAATTGGGGTTAGGGGAGTAGACGAGTGAAAACAGAAAGTTGGAAGAGATTCTGGGGGTAGACGAATAGCATAACCTCGTGTGTAGTTTAAAGATGGAGCGATGGGCTACCAGTCTTACTCATAACTTTATTTTTTAAGAAGTGTTCAATTCCTACAATTAACTGTGGTTTTTTTCTAACCTCTCAGAAACGGAGGGGGGGCGGAGATCAATGGAGATTACCTTTTACAGTTTGTACTTACAAGTTTAAACGATTTACTATTTTAACGTCTTTCATTTAAATTTTATTTTAAACTCAATGCATCAACATTACAGCTAGTTTAACTTGAGCGTGGAAGGGCAGTAGCAATTATCCCGGGACTATCTTGCGTCCTGCTTTTTTTATTTTGAGTCCTAATATCCACAAATTCCGGGCATAGTAATTTAGTTTGTTTGTAGACTTCAACAGAATTGAGTTTAGGAACAAAAAAGTTTAGGTAGAGATGGTTATTAACCTATGTTCCCTATCTTCCAGTTTTCGTTTTTTAAAAATTAAGTTATCCTGTTTTTCGTCCTCTCTTCTTTTAAAACCAAACAAAACATTTTAAGTTTCTTAACTTTTTCCTGGGACAAGGAACGGGACAAACTCAAAGCTACAGAATTCTTGGAAAGAAGCAACCCCCTCCCTTGGCTCCTTTAAGTAGCTGATAGGTCATTTATTATTGGAACTGAAATGGTATAAACAATTCTCTCTCCTTTTTTCCTTGTTAACAGCAACTTTCATTGTTAGAGAGAGGAGAGAGAGAGAAGCCTTGTTGGTTGACGTCACTTGGTTCATGAAGCCTTCGCCTAGAAGTGAAGCTGCTGAACAAACCTTGAGAAGAATCATCTCCTGCTTCAATCTGCTGCTGGATAGGAACTAATCAGAGAGAGAGAGGCGGAAGACGGAGAAGGAGGGAGCCGAGGGCTTTCCCGATCACGAATCTCACCTCCACTCCAACTCTCTTTATACTTTTCTTGCAGAAATAATAATAGAAATAAGGAGGTGGCGGGGTTTCCAAAAATCTTAACCTTCAGCCATCTGGGGAAGGCAAAAATCCTATCCACCGCAACTCTCAGTTCGAAAGTAAAGGTGAGTTTAAAATCCTCGGGTGCGAGGGGTGTGGGCGAAGAAAATCCCGAATGGTATAATGCCGGGTGGAACCGAAGACTGAACTACGCTCTGCGAACGGAGGGCTCCGGAGGTGCCTATCTGGAGCGCCCGCCCTGCCGCCCTGCCGCCCTGCCGCCCTGCCTGCCCTGCCGCCGTGTTTACCCTCGCCGGTCGGTGTCTCTTTGTTGTGCTGGCTGCGAGGCTGAGCTGCTTCTCGGGGTCCCGAGTGGAGTTTGAGGGAGGCGGACGCAGAGAGGTGCGGTCCTGGGTGGGAGGCGGGGGGTGCGGTCCCAGGAGAACGTAAACTTTATTCCTGGCAGCCGGTGCGGGACTTCGGTCTAGCAGGGCCGCGGGCCGCGCTCCGCCGGCCTGGGCAGGCGCCGCCGCCGCCGGTCCGCCGCCTTTGTGCCGGCCGCCGGCTTCGCGTCCCCGTCCTCCTCCCCTTGGGCTTCCAGCGCTCGGGTCGCCGCCAACAGTTTTGCTTCTTAAAAAACAACCTCTGTCCGCGCCGCGACCGCCGTTCCTATTCTGGAATATCCGCTGCTCCCCCACTCCCTGCTGGGGTAGTTTCCAGATTGCTCCCCCCACCCCACCCCCGTCCGCCTACTGCTGCCCTTTTCTGCCTCCGCCCCCTCTTCCCTCCCGGACGAGGAGCTGCGCCTGCCACCCTGCTCCCCAGTTCGGGCCTCTTTTGCTTTCCGTGTGTGGCGCGAGGCTCCGGAGTGCACCGAAAGCGAGCGGGGTGGGGGTGGGGCAGGCGGCGCCGGGAAGGGACCTGGAGCCGCGGGGAGGTCTCAGTCGGAACGCCGAGGGTCGGGACGCCGCCGCCCGCCGCGGCGTCCGTGCAGCGGCCCCGGCTCCCGCCAAGCTTCCCGGAACGGCCGCCGGCGCGCGGCTCCTGCCTCCCTGGTTTCGTCTGGTCGCCCCCGCCCCCCCGCGCGCGCCCCCTCCCTCCAGACTAGTTCCGCGAACCCCAAATTGGGATTTGGGGAGAGAAGGAAGGGTTTGAAGCGTCAGAGCCGGCCCTGCCGCTTGGGAGATTTTCTCTTCTTTTCTCTCTCCCTCTATTTATCTTTTGTGCGTTGCTTCCTTATAAAGAGGGAAGCAGCTGCAGTCCTTGGCCGAGTTGTTGAAATTTGCCCCTTTGTGTATATTACAATATCCTCCATTTTTTTCCTGTCCTCTAAACAACAAGCGTTTCGCCATCTTGGGCAGTTTTAATTCCCAAGTCTGTCTCTTTTTTATTTTTTAGGAAGGGGAAAAAGCCTTAGAAAGGCAAAAAGCGTGTCTGGATGAGGTTCGAAGTTTAGGGATTGTTCAAGGGCCCAGTGACGTCATATAAACTTTACTGAGAAATTTTCCCAAGAGTAAATTTTTTGCTTAATTCCCCTCGTTTTAAAGGATCGTGTAACTTATAGGTTAACGATTAAGTTATGTGGCTTATTTTTATGGTTTGCTCTCAAAATGAATCGACAAAGGCTGCACATTTATGTTTTGGTAACAGGTGGAAAATTATGTGCAAAAAATGTTATAAACTTTTTGTGCCATTTTCCTAGTTTTTGTGTACGTGTCTTTTATTCTTTAAAGGTTTCAAGTGTTATTTGCAATCAGAATGTTCCTTTTCTTCTTTGCTCAACTCTCCCCTATGGATTTTTCTTTAATTGGCTTGGTTAAGATTTAGGTGCGCTTATTTTACATTACCTAGTTCTCTTTTGTAATTAGATGTTCTGTTTTTTGTGTTTTTTTTACATTTTGAAAAAAATATAACTATTGGAAATACCTCTAGATACTGGATACTTTTAGAATTTAGTAGCAGATATTAAGTCAAACAATTAGCAAGAATGTAGAGTATTTAAAGGGCAGAATTGATTTTAAAGGTATTTTATAATCTCTAGCTATAAACTTTGTGTCAGCCATTATGACACAAAAGATAAACAAAAAATAACACTCTAGTGTTTTAATTTGCTTCTGTAAAATAGATTTTAACCTCACAAAAGTTGGTCTGGTCACATGACCAAACTTAATGATACACTGACTAGTATATAAATAAGAAGCACTGTAAATTGAGTGGGAAAGTGAAATTCTGTCTCCTGTAGTCATTTTCAGTCAGCATATTTACATCTCTTCTAACAAGGACATGAAACTGTCTGTATTTAATTTGCATTCTCTTTGTCTTCTGGGTTGGGGAAAAACATTGACTAACAATTACCTTAAAAAAACTAATAGAAACAATTCTGAATACGTTGAAAAGGTTTGTCTAACACATAAAAACTTATGTTGTATGTGGTATGTTTTTATTTCTGTAGCAGTCTTCTTTGGTCTTATCTGCTATTTATCTAGGAATTTGCTTTATGTAAAATGCTATATAGAAAGCTTGACTGAATTGAATGTCTGCCATTTGTGTGAATTGTAGGTAGGTGAAAAATGTTTAAATAGTTAAAAGCACGTAGAACAGATGGTTCTAAATTATACATGCAACAAAGGACTAGAAGATTTGGCAGATTATAAATGGCAAGCAACAGAGGATAAGCAGTTTAAGAAAATGGTAGTTAAGTACATTTGATGCCTCACACCTATTGTAAACACTGTACATATTATTGTCACTGCTGCTTAATCAATAATTTAGACAATATTAAGACACTTAATATGCTTCAGATAGAAAAAAGTAAGATTTTACAAATATTTGAAATCAGTGTTTGTAAAATTATTTTAAACCTATTTGATGAATGAGTCTATTTTTTAAAGAAAATCAGATTATATGCTTTAAAAACAGGAAGTTATTTATGAGAACTTAATATCGTTGTGTTCATATAATGGTTTGGAGAGAAACAGGAGTGGAGACGCATTTTAGAATCCAGATAATAGTATCTTTACTGTTCTCATATGTTAAACTAGTGCTGAACTACAGTAACATTTACTCTTTCAAGCACTAGTGAAAAAATATTTTTGACTGCTCAGTATTAGAAATGCATTCATTAGAATACTGTTGGCATCATTTACTAAATACTTGTTAAATAAAGGAAGGATATATTTTAGTTTTAATTTTTGAGCTTTATATGTAACATTATGATATTGATTTTACTTGATTGAACATAATTTACTCTTGAGTTTTTTAAATGTAAAGATTTTTATGTAGTTTTTGCCTTTTTGAAAGAATCTCATATTTAATTATATTTAACATTTTCAAAAATTTAGAATAACAAAGTATTCAACTTTGTAAAAATCTGTTTTTATTTTTTAAGCCATTCATTTAAAATGCATATAAGACTGTAATAGAAACCTTGGATTTTTAATTCTGTTGCCCTTTCTCCCATTTCTTTGTTTGCATATTTATTATAGAACTGCAGTGTAAAGGAGCAGATGTTTTGCCAAACATCCTGATGTGTTGCTTTTTCTTATGGGAGTGCATAACTGTTCCTTCTGATGCATCAACTTGACAGCTGGTTGATTTCATGGAGCTGCTAAGAAGCCATTAGTGGTGTCATTGAATTGAAACAGAACAGTCACTCCCAGCTTGAACTGCAATTGTTAATGTCTTTGTTGCTACTTTTGTGTTACTATACAAGATGTAGGATATCACAGTTGCATGTGCATGAAAGTTTAAGATTTCTGTCTTACCTTCTTGAATTAGTGAAGGTATATGTTGGAACTTGATTACTTTTAGGTTTAAAATTTCTCAAAGAAGAGATTTTAAGTTGTAGTTTCTGAGTTTTTTAACTAGTCATAGAATTACCAAAAAAAAAAAAATGTGACTTAGCACAAAGTAATAAGGACAATTAAATGAAATTATATCATTAAGTTTTAATTATTTTTAATATACTTGATTTCCTGAGGTATTAATTAAATTACCTAGTTTGGTATTTAAAATTTTTTGATTACATAAAATTACATATTTGTACCATGATATTTTAACAATATTGTGCTTCATTTAATAAATACTGACTCATTTGGTTAAATGTTTTAAACTTTTGTTGCAGGAGGTAATCAGAAGAGAAAAATAATTGTTGGGGAAGTAGGCAGTTTTGTGTTTAATTTTCCTTTAAAATGAGGCAAAATTCACAAAAACTATGACCTAAAATAGTTTACTAGTAGCTATTTAATGATTTTTAAAATTGAAATTATATTTTCATTGTTATAATAACTTTTATCAATAGATTCAGCTATCACACTGTGGTACTGAAATGGTGTCTCATTGGTGCCTAAGTATTTTCTAATTTTTCTAACAATTTACATGGGTTTTTTGGTGGGAGGGGAGATGGCAAGGAGGAAAGAGGGAGGTAAAGAGTGATTGATAACCGACAAAGAAAAACACATTTTAAAAAAGTTCATATAAAAAACTTTAGGATGATAAGATTTAAAGATATCATGTCGTTTATTGTTACTATGTTAAAAGACTTCTGGTTCCAATATTTATTGATTTTTAACTTTTAGATATGTAAATATATTAGCCATTAAACAATTCTTAAAAGAACATAAACTTTATAACATATTTAAAATAGTTTGCCATTAAAAAAATACCTAATGTGTGAAATTGATCAGAACATATAATTTGCACAAGACTGCCTGTACCATATGAACAAATTGTTAGCCCAATGATATATTTTTGAGTGATTCCAGAATTATGGTTTCCTGAAATTATAATTTATATAGATACTTTCCTTATAAATAAGTCCTATATTACGGTGATTAAAGGTAAGATTTATAATCAGGTAATATGCTTTCTCAACCGTTTTTACATACAACTCTTTAAAAAGAAAATCATTCAATTACTTCAGACCATGACCCAATTTTTAAGAAATATGTTTACTGATATTTGTGTGAAGGCAGATGTTGATATAAATCAAATTATGGTAAATTGAGCTGTGTGTTAAATGTAAACTATTGTTTTAAAAAAGGAATCTCAATGCTTAGTCCATTTTAAGAGATAATATAGCCTTAATTATAGTGCAAATAAGCATCCTATAATTTAAGTAAGAATT